CAGTGTCGGGCTGCCGCAGACGGGGACCCACTCGCCGCTCATCACTTTGTCCAGGAAACCCTGGCCGCAGTTGCAGGCTGGGTCCGTGAGGTCCCACAAGCCGTAAGTGTCGATGTAAAGAGAACCGCTCGTAGTCATCACAGGGCCGTCGTCAAGCCAATCGTTGCACACGGTAGTATCGGCCGGAGGAACACTCGTCACGAAGTCACAGGCCCTGCAGAACCCGTTGCTGCAGGCGTGGGTTCCCGAGCCCCCGTACTCGGCACCGACGAGGACCTCCATGATGACGGGGTCGTTCTGTGCGACCCAGTCGCCGTAGCCGTCGCCAGCGCTGTCCTGGCAAACTTTGTAGTATGGGCAGCAGCGCCCGCCCAAGCACTGGGAGTCGAAGAGGCACGTCTCGTCGGTGGCCCGCTTGTCGGCGTCTGCGAGCTCGCACCCGCTGGGTATCTCGGCGCGCGAGGCGTACCCGTCGGGTAGCGTAGGCGCAGGAGTAGGCAGTGGTGCAGGCGTTGGATCGCACAGGGAGCACCCACTACAGTCGCACTGATAGACAGAGGTCAAAGTATCGCAGGTGTACCCGAAGGTCTGGACCATGTAGTCGCACGTGTTAGAAAAGCATCCCGTCGGGCAAGACTGTGATGGTGTTGCGGTAATGTCGACAGCCGAAGAAGCCATGAGGTCAATCGAAGTAACGCCTGACGGTAGAGTTTCGCCCGCTGGGTACTCAGCAGAAGCCGCGAGCGATTCAGTGGCTTGTGATGGTGCTAAATTCTGTGCCGACGCCAGCACTGGCGCTGGCGCTGGGGTGGGACCGCAAAAGCATCCACTGCAATCGCACCCAGAATTGGTCAAAGTATCGCAGGTGAAACCTTGGGTCTGGACCCAGTAGTCGCATGTCTTCGTACTAGAAAAACACCCCGTCGGGCAAGACTGTGGTGTCGGCGCCGGCGCGGGGTATGGTGTAGGCGACGCCGTCGGGGGGACCAGTGTCGGGCTGCCGCAGACGGGGACCCACTCGCCGCTCATCACCTTGTCCAGGAAACCCTGGCCGCAGTTGCAGGCTGGGTCCGTGAGGTCCCACAAGCCGTAAGTGTCGATGTAAAGAGAACCGCTCGTAGTCATCACAGGGCCGTCGTCAAGCCAATCGTTGCACACGGTAGTATCGGCCGGAGGAACACTCGTCACGAAGTCACAGGCCCTGCAGAACCCGTTGCTGCAGGCGTGGGTTCCCGAGCCCCCGTACTCGGCACCGACGAGGACCTCCATGATGACGGGGTCGTTCTGTGCGACCCAGTCGCCGTAGCCGTCGCCAGCGCTGTCCTGGCAAACTTTGTAGTATGGGCAGCAGCGCCCGCCCAAGCACTGGGAGTCGAAGAGGCACGTCTCGTCGGTGGCCCGCTTGTCGGCGTCTGCGAGCTCGCACCCGCTGGGTATCTCGGCGCGCGAGGCGTACCCGTCGGGTAGCGTAGGCGCAAGAGTAGGCAGCGGTGCAGGCGTTGGATCGCACAGGGAGCATCCACTACAGTCGCACTGATAGACAGAGGTCAAAGTATCGCAGGTGTACCCGAAGGTCTGGACCATGTAGTCGCACGTGTTAGAAAAGCATCCCGTCGGGCAAGACTGTGATGGTGCTGCGGTCGGTGCCGACGTCGGCACGTGAGTTGGTGCGGACGTCGGCGCGGGCGGTGGTGTTGCGGTCGGTGCCGCCGTATGCGCCCTCGTGGGTTCCAGGGTTGGCGCCACAACAAAAACCGACACGTCGGGAGTCGTCATCGTAGGAGCGGTGGTAATCACCGGCTCATCACTCCAATCAGCATCAGCCATGGCACTGTCAGTCTGAACCTTGATATCGACGGCAGCTCCAGCAATCGTAGTGGAGAGGTCATCGGCAGCACTCTGGTCGGAGACCTGAACCTCGAAGCTGGTCGTCACAGAGACTGTGACTGAGCCCGAGAGCCGGCCGGCAGCTGCAGAGAGCCGACGGACACTCACGTCGAAACCCGTCATTGTAATCCGCCAAGGTGCCTCGGAGCACGAGTTGGAGTGTCCGCAGGTCCTTTGAATTCTCAGTCCTGAGTCCTGCGTAGAGACCATGAAGAGGGCCCCGATCCCAACTTCCTGGGGTGTGCGCCGCGTGTCCCCAGACATTTTGGGCCCTGTCGCTGAACTGCATCGGGGCCAGAACCAGGACGGCCCAAGACGGCTCCTGGAGGTCCTCCAGACTATCCAAGAGGGCTCCAAGACTGCCCAAGAGCGCTCCAAGACGCCCGCAAATTGCCCCAGTGCAATCCAAGAGGCCTCCAAGCCGCCCAAGAAAGCCCCAAGAAGCCGAAATCGTCAGAACCCACTAAGCTGTCGTTTGTGTGATTTTGGCATCACAGTCTTTGCGGTCGAATGGCATCCAAGCGTCCAAGACGGCCCAAAAGGCCCCAGCAAGATCGCCCAAAGACTGACCTAGAAGCTCCCAAGAGGGCCGCAAGACGGCCCAGATGCCCCCAAGAGGCCCCCAAGATGGCCCCGAGAGGTGCCGAAGAGGGGAAGCACGAAGGAGTAAGAAGGGAAACACGAACGAGTTTCACGGAATGTTTTCTTCCAACCCCCCTTCTTCCCCTTCGGGGAAGCGTTTAACAATACCCCTTCTTATTGATACAATTGAAACCCATGCCAAGAAACACCCTGCTTGCCTCCAGGGTGCCCTGGTTTCTTGGGTTTCGATGGTTTTGCTATGGAAAAGGTGAGGTCCCCACACCAAAAATCAATTGACATCCTGGGGTCCCAGGGTTGGGCTTCTTGTGGAAGGCTTCCTGTGGTCGAGCTCCTACTGCATACAACCCCTCTCCGCCCCCCCGGCGACAACCCGGGACCATGCGAGTCGCTCCCAACCGTCCCTTGCAAACAAAAAACACAACATGCACTTTGCACCAGAATCGGGCTCGTGCGCGGGCGCACCGCGATCATTTTGCATTGGCTGTTCCAACAATCCTGTGGTGTTGGGTCCTCGTTTTGAAGAGACAGCGCCCCGCGTCCCTCTTCCGTCCTTCCTTCCTCCTCCCCTCCTTCTCTCATCGTCAGCATCGCCATCACCATCAGCAGCATCAGCATCATCATCAGCATCAGCATCATCATCAACATCAGCATCGTCGTCATAATCCCCATCGTCATCGGCATCATGATTAAAATCATGGCCGTCAGCATGACCATCATCGTCATCATCACTAGCATCGCCATCCCCATCACCAGCATCATCACCCTCAGCAGCATCATAATCATCAACATCATGGCCGTCATCATCACCATCCTCGTCATCACCACCACCATCGTCAGCATCATCAACATCATGGCTGTCATCATCACCAGCATTGTCATGCTTCGTGACCCCATAGAGAGATCCACCGAAGGCCCCAGAGGCAAAGTTCGCATGGCGGCCCCGCCTCCATTTCGGCACATCCCTCACGCGTTCCGTTGCCACATAGGGAGCTCAGACGAAGGCCCCAGTGACAAGATTCGCACGGCGGCCACGACCCCATTTCGGCAGACTCCTCACACAAGTCGTGGCCCAATAGGGGGCTCCACCGAAGGCCTCAATGGCAAAGTTCGTATGTCGGCCCCGCTCCCATGTGGGTTCACGTTTGATACGTTTCGCGGCCCCACAGGGGGATCCACGGAAGGCACCAGCGGCAAAATTCTCATAAGCTCCATTTCGGCGCACCCCTCACACGTTTCGTGGCCCCACAAGCGGTACTCACAGCTGCATATGGTTGGGTCCTTCGCCAGGATGATTCAATGGGGCGGCGGGGTGGGGGGCAGCATATTGTCTGCTGTGTGCAATGGCAACACCCCCACCATCCTGTGCAAAAGGCAATACAAAATGCACTCTGCACCACAATCTGGATCATGCGCGGACGCACTGCGATCATTTCGCGTTAGTTGTTGACAGTGGCGGGGGGGGCGGCATAATGCCTAATGTGTGCAGTGCCAACCCCGCAATCATCCATTCCAAAAACAAGATAAAGCACACATTACGACCAAATCTGGATCACGAGCGGGAACCAAGCGATCACCTTGCACTGTTTCCCCCACATTCTATATGGGGTTTTTGCTGTTCCCAACAATCACGTGGTGTTAGATGCTTGTTTTGAAGAGGCAGCGCCCCGAGTTCTCCTTCCTCCTTCCTTCCTCCTCCCCTCCTTCCTCCTCCCATCCTCAGCATCATTATCATCAACATCATCACCATCATCAACATCAGCATCAGCATCAGCATCAGCATCAGCATCATCATCATCATCATCATCATCATCATCATCATCATCATCATCATCATCATCATCATATTCATCATCATATCCATCATCATCATCGTCATCATCATCATCATCAGCATCGTCGTCATCGTCATCGGCGTCATCGTCATCGTCATTGTCGTCATGACCATCGGCATCAACATCATGGCCGTCGTCATCACCAGCATCAGCATCATCATCGCCATCAACTTCGGCACGCCCCTCACACGTTTCGTGGCCCCATAGGGAGCTCCACAGAAGGCCTCGGTGGCAAAGTTCGCATGCAGTTCCAACCCCCATTTCGGCACACCCCTGACACGTTTCGTGGCCCGATCGGGAGCTCCAGCGAAGGCCCCAGAGGCAAAGTTCGCATGCAGTTCCACTCCCATTCCGGCGCACCCCCTTACACGGCTCGTAGCCACACAGGGAGCTCCGCCGAAGGCCCCAGAGACAAAGTTCGCATGCGGTTCCACCCACCCATTGCACGTTTCGTGGCCCCATACAGAGCTCCGCCGAAGGCCCCAGTGTCAAAGTTCGCATGCGGTTCCACCCCCATTTCGGCACACACCCCTCACGAGGTTCGTGGACCAATAAAGAGCTCCACCGAAAGCCAGAGTGGAAAGGTTAGCATCCGGTGCCACCCCCTTTTGGCCCCCCCCCCTACAGCCTACACGGTTGGTGGCCCCGTAGGGACCACCTCCGAAGGCCCTAGTGGCAAAGTTCTCGTGCGGTTCCACCCCCATTTTGGCACACCCTTCACACGGTTCGTGGCCCCATTGGGAGCTCCACCGAAGGCCCCAGCGGCAGCGCCCGCATGCGGTTCCACCCCCCTTTCGGTGCACTCTCACACGTTTCGTGGCCCCATTGGGAGCTCCACCGAAGGCCCCAGCGGCAGCGCCCGCATGCAGTTCCACCCCGATTTCGGTGTACCCCTCATTCGTTTCATGGCCCCACAGGGAGCTCCACCGAAGGCCCCAGTGGAAGCGCCCGCAGCTTGGCGGTCCCGTCACATTTCGGCACACCCTTCACGCGCTTCGTGACCCCATTCGAAGATCCACCGACGGTAATACTCACAACGAGGGTATCCACAACTGCATATGGTTGGGCCCTTCGCCAGGCTAATTGTTCTGGACGCCCCCACGCGGAAAAGAAAAACCCATCCTCTCATTCATACCTCCTTCCGCACTCATCATCACAACGATCATCAGCATAGTCAGCATCATATCATCATCAACATCATCATTATCATCATCAGCATCATCATCCGCATCAGCATCCTCATCATCATCATCATCATCATCATCACCAGCAGCAGCATCATCATCACCAACATCAATAGCCTCATCACCATCATCAATATCGTCATCATCATCACCGCTACCACCACCAGCATCATCATCATCATCATCACCATCACCACCATCATCATCATCATCATCATCATCATCATCATCATGCAACCCATTATGACCATCCTTCATCAGCATCAACACCACGCCATGTCTTCACACCCACCACCACCACCGTCATCAGACCACATTCATCACCACCACCACCCCATCACGACCATCGGTCGTAACAATCATCGAGCATGCTCTCGAGCGGCAGCCTCTCCTCCGTGGGTGAACGTTGGGCAGGTCCCGGGCGGGAGCCTTCTCCCCAAGGGATCCTTCGGGCTCCCCGCCGGAGCCCGATAGAAACCCAAGTGATCCTTAGCGATTCTGCGCGGATCATTTGGGAATCCCTTGGAGTCCCGTGGGGAAGCCGACGGATCTCTAGGGAAGCCCTAAGGGAAACCTGGGGATCCCACATAATCCCTGGGGATCCTCAGCGGATCCTTCGGGAAACCCTCGGGATCCATAGGGGTCCTTAGCGGATCCCGAAGGAAACCATCGGATCCTAGGGATACCTTGGGGATGCCTGGGGAAACCCTGGGGATCCTTCGGCGGGAAGCCTTCGACATCCTTGGGGCCCCGTAGCGGACCCCTAAGGAACCCTAAGGGATCCTTGGGGATCCTTGGCGCATGCCCAAGGCAATTTCAAGAATCCCTCAGTGGATCCTCCGTAAACCTCCGGGGAAGCAAGGGCGGATTCCTCCGGATTCCTCACGCCTCTAAAAAATGAACATGGTCCCCAGACTGCCCTACGACTGCTGCTGCTGCGGCTACCACAACAACAACTACTACTACTACTACTACTACTACTACTACTACTACTACTACTACTACTACTACTACTACTACTACTCTTACTACTACTACTCTTACTACTACTACTCTTACTACTACTACTACTACTACTACTACTACTACTACTACTACTACTACTACTACTACTACTACTACTACCACTACTACTAGTTCTCCGACGACGACGACGACGACGACGACTACTACTACTACTACTACTGCTGCTACTACTACTACAACTACGACTACTACTATGGCTACGACTACTAGTACTACGAATACGACTACGACAACGACTACGACTACTACTACTACTACTACTACTACTACTACTACTACTACTACTACTACTACTACTACTACTACTACTACTACTACTACTACTACTACTACTCCTACCACTCTTACTACTATTAGTACTACTCCTTCTACTACTACTACTACCACTACTACTACTACTACTACTACTACTACTACTACTACTACTACTACTACTAGTACCACTCTATCACTATGGCTACCACTATTATTACTTTACTAATACTACTTCTTCTTC